GGGGAAAAGTAGGTTTATAGTTGTTTATGTGGAAAATAATACAATAATTACTAAGTAATACAAGAATAAACTCTGGCCCTCACTGGTGCAGCTCAGCTGTTTGGGCATCATTCTGCAAAGAGAAAGGTCTCTGGTTTGATTCCTGGTCAGGGCACATGCCTGGGTTGCAGGTTTAGCCCCTAGTCAGGGCACATGCAAGAGGCAACCAATTGATGTTTCTCTGTCTCACATCAATGTTTCTCTTTCTCCCTCCCTTCCCCTCTCTCAGAAAATAAAATCCTTTTTTAAAGAAAAAATAAATTCTGTTTCATGTACTCACAACTGTAAACCTACTGTTGCCCCAGCCTGTATTTATTGGCTGATCTTGAGCATTTTCTCTCACTAATGAGCCATAGAACCAGTTTCCTACATGCCATAAAGAATCTCATTGAAATTTTGATTTGAAAATTATTGAATGTGTATATTAATTTGTAAGGAATTGACTTTAACAGTATTAACCAGAAACATGAGAGAGGTCTCTGTTTATTGAGCTTTTTTTCATGTACTCTACAGCAACTCCACAGTAAAAATTCAGTTTTATTTATATAAGTTTTGAACATTTCTTGGTATATTTATAAGCAATTTGTTTTTTCTTGTTATTGCTATTGTAAATTATAGCACTTTCCCCCATTATATTTGATAAACAGTTACTGCCTGTGTGAGAAAGCTATTATTTTAGCATGTCAACCTAGTACCCAAGGACAAAAGCCATTATTAGTTGTGGGTAGGGGGTAGGAAAGGAAGACAGGTGCAGAACTTGGAGAGATGCAGGGAAGACAACACCAAGTTTAAGATGCTACCAGAGCTCTGAGAAGGCATCCAGCACCCCTCAGTACCCTAGACTTAGATGAACAGAGTGAGGTGTAGGGGGCCAGACAAAGAAACTTCAGAGTCATTGAGGGAAAGTGTTGTGTTTGGAACTCTGGAGAATACTGAAGAAGTGGCAGCAGGCCATGTATAAGCCCAGAGGGAACATTTAGCTCAAGTACATGAGTGTCCCTGAGGCTAAAGCGGGGTCCGGAAGAGGCTGAGCAGTTTCTACTTGTCCCGGTGGTGAATACAGAAGTGTTGAGAGTCAACCAGTGAAAAGACCTGGAGTGCAGACTGCAAGAGGGCAGCGGCTATAGACTTGCAGGACAAGACCACAGCAGGAGCCACAAGCCTCAGCAGCACACACCAGTGCACACTCAAAGGCTGATGAGGCTAGTTACACCTGGAAAGGAGGAGTGGGGAAAGAGGCCAACAACCAAAGGCCAAATCACATGAGCTGTGCTGGGGAGCACGCAGAGAACTGCACACAGGAGAAATGTCACTCTTGCTGCCAGGATGGTACATAAGCTTCCCTGCCACATGATGCCATTCTGGGGATGGGAAAGGAGGAAAAGCTCACCATAAAAATAAGTTTGATTATATCTATTTTCAACAATATTTTGGAAAACAAGCACTCTCATATAACATTAGTGGCAGTAAATTATCCTAAACTCTTTGGATGGACATTTATCACTAAGGAAAATGTAAAATGTGTATAGCTTTTGATCCAACAATTCCACTTCTAGGAATTTCCAGTATGGATGCACAAGAAGCAAGAATGTACATCCAAGCCTGTTTATCATAGCACAATTTATAACAGTAAAAGGCTAGACACAACTTTGATGTCCATTAATAAATAATTACATACATGCATACAATTAACTATCAGAAAACCATTTTTTATTTTGTTGTTCAAGTACAGTTTTCTACCTTTAACCCCCATCCCAGCCCACCCCTCCACCCTCCCCACCTCCCTCCCATTTCCACCCTCTCTCGTTATTGTCCATGTGTCCTTTATACTTGTTCCTGCAAACCCTTCCCCTTTGCCCATGAAATTCCCTCCCCTCTCCCCTTTGGTCACTGTCAGCCTATTCTCGATTTCAGTGTCTTTGGTTATATTTTGCTTGTTTTGTTGATTAGGTTCCTGTTAAAGGTGAGAGCATATGGTATTTGTCTTTCACCACCTGGCTTATTTCACTTAGTATAATGCTTTCCAGTTCCATCCATGCTGTCGCAAAGGGTAGGAACTCCTTCTTTCTTTCTGCTGCATAGAATTCCATTGTGTAAATGTACCATAGTTTTTTGATCCATTTCTTTACTGATGGGCACCTAGGTTGCCTCCAGCACCTGGCTATTGTCAACTGTGCTTCTATGAACATTGGGATGCATAGGTTCTTTTGGATTGGTGTTTCAGGGTTCTTAGCAGTCCCTATATATAATCCTAGCAGTGGAACTTCTGGGTCAAAAGGCAGATCCATTTTTAGTTTTCTGAGGAAATTCCATACTGTTTTCCATAGTGGAGAAAACCATTTTTTAAATGAAACCAATCATCTATCACTGATATGGAAAGAACCTCTAAAATTATTAAGAAAATAAGAATGTGAATAACAGAGACTTATATTTGTTTCTAAAAGGCCTTAAATATGTTGAAGAAGCTTATATAACATAAAGAAAGTTCCTAAAAGTATATACAAAACATTGTTAACAATAGCTATTTCTTCAGGGTGGGCTTGGAGATAAAAGGAGGAAAAGAAAGGAAATACGGTTTTTATTTTTAATTTTACTGAACTGTTAGAAAACCCACAAACATTACATTATTAAAAATGATTTTTAAAAAATACTAGTAAGAAATAATAATAATGCCTTTGTAAAGAGTTTTTTAACCAGGGCAGCTGATCTTCTGCCAATCCCGGGAAACACCATTCCTGGGAACACCCAGTCAGAGGTCAGGGCAAATGACCTGAGAGTTGGGCATTGCTCTACAGAGGGAGGCCGGAATGGCAGCAGCTGTTCCTCTGAGGACCTACACCCTCACCGCCTCTCTAAGGCAGTCCGAGTAGAAAAGCCATGCCCACACCCAACTGGAAGCTGTCTGGGGTTCTGGAACAAGATCCTTTTGATAAATTCATACATAAGTACCAGGAGTTAGACCCAGTTTTCCAGAGTTAACATTTTATAAGCTCTAGTTTAAATGTTTTTTCTAATTTACATGAAAGTTATTGTTTCCAGGACATAAGTATAAGACTGTAGAAATTCTTGATACAAAGAGACAGCAATTAACAACAAGAACAAAATTAGGTTTGTGATCTGAGAAAATTACATGAATTTTCTTCACTAATACCCTTAATACAACAGGAGACTGCGTGATGGATAGGAAGACCTCTGCCAGTTCCTGAATCAGGGAGCCACTGTGTCTGGTTTAGATATTGAATTTTACACAATTCTTTCTTCCAGATTCAGATTCCATTCATCATTAAATTGAAATTGGCCAGCAGTCAAATGTCACTCTTTATATCACTTTTATCCAACACTATAAATTTTGCGTCAGCTGTTCAGATTTACTAATGGTAGAGACAAAGCTCTCAAGCAGCAAATTCTTCACAAGTTTTAAATTTTTCTTCTATTAAGTGGTGAAATATATCTTACTTTAGAGATAGATTTACATTCCAAAATTGTGTATGGCCTAAGGAAAATATTTCATGACACTTAAGAACCAAAATCAAAGTACCATTTACTATAAATAAGTGTCCTGGGAAGTTGTCTAAATATTTTAAACTATGTAAACAAAAATATCAAAACTTAGTCATTGGGGCATAAAATCTAGGCATCTAGGTTATTTTTTTGCTCAGACTCGATAGTTCATTCTCATTATCCTGCAAATCATTCTGTACAGAGTTCCCCAGTACCTCTGTCCTGGTAATTACTAAATACTCGTCCCAACTCTATTCCAGACTCACCCCAACAGATGGATCTCCCTGGACCTCCCACGCTCACTGCTGTCCCTGTTTTCAACTCATGCATCTTTACTGTGATCTCCCTGCAGTACCCATCACTCACAGGAGCCATGGGCGTTAGCTGTCTGGCTGTCTTTCCTTCACTGGCTAGACAGTTTGCTCTTGAGAGATGGGAGAGGGAAGGGGAGAGATGGGAAGAGAGGAAGACAGAGGGGAAAAAAGTCAATGAGGAATAAATATGTTTGTTGTTAGTGTGCGCATTCAGTTTCTTCTTTCTTCCACTTAAAACCCTGCCCAAAATAATTTCTTCATATTTGGAGAAAGAAAAGAATCCCCTGAATGATGACAAGTGACATAATATGCGCTAACCTGATCTCCGAGGAGAAACTGATTTATCACCTACATTTCAGAGCCCTGAGAAAGATGGCATAGAGGGATAAATTAGTTTCAGGGCAGGTAATACATTTCTGAGGTGCATTTCAGAAGCTCTCCTCCAAACCATAAATAAAAGCAGGTCGACGGCAGCCTGGCACAGGTAACCAGGAGAAAACATCATGCCCACCCAGGACCACCAGTGAGCACCCTCGTCACAATGCCTCAAGTGGACAGCCAGATATTCTAAAAACTGGCTTTCCAAACCGACTTCTCCAAGAGCTCATCAGGGAAAAAAAAATTTTTAATTTAAAGGGCAGGTCAGAACACCAGAGCTTGAAAACAATTACTCAGAAAAAAAAAAACAGTTATCTTAGTGAGTTTGAGGGGTGGAAAATTATACTACGCCCTTCAGTAAAGTTACCAGGAAGATTGATTTTAATTTCAAAACACACCGCCCCCACGACTGCACTTCCCACCCTGAACCATTTTCTAGCAACCCCCACAATCAAAAGGAACCTGGCCCTTCATGATTGTGTTTAACTGATATCTAACCATCTAATCCAATTCCCTTGTTCAAATATGGATGTGAGGGTAAAACGGTGGAGAGGGAAAGGCCCAGGGGGCTAGAGGAAAAGGGACTGCAAGGAGGCTTGAGGCCAGCAAATAAGAGAGGTCACAAGGCTCTTGATGGGAGAGAGAAACCCCACCCACCCACAGATATTCAACTAAAGCAATTTCTTCCCTGGCAGGAAAAACTGTCAAGAGACAGCATCTATGTTTGGACATTTCATAGCAAAAGTGAACCCACAGATTGACACTTACATTTCATTTGCTTGGAGATGGACTTGTTAGGTTCAAGCCAGTGCTGGGGAGAAAAAAAGAGATTGTGGGTCAAATGGCAGGACCATATGATGCATTCTTAATAACCAAAAGGAATTTAATAAAGATATTCTTTTTCCAAAGTACTGCCTTGGTTCCTATAGATACTCCTCAGGGTTCCACCTCTGAAGATTGGCATGAACAAATCGGCAACAATAATACCACAGGCAAGGGTGTAAATTGCAGAGGATTAATACTTTCTGAGTAGTATTTGAGTCATCCAGTTGGTAGGGGAGAAAGACAAAAGAGAGAACATGTACTTGAATGGGATGTTCTAGTGGCTCTAATTGACTCCTAGGTGGTTCTTTGTGCTCCATTGCCCTGGGCAAGCCACAGATGGCTAAAGACTGTGACATATACAACCTCAAAGAGTCACAATTCAAGACAGCATGAGCACCGGGCTCCCCTTCCCTAAGGTGGCCTCCTCTCAGATTAATAGTGAGCTGAGCCAGCATGAGACCGATCACACACAAAACCAGGTCTTCCTCTGCCTAGGGAGGGACAAATGATTTTAAATCTCATTTCAGAGGCCTGAGGTCATCAAGAAGGAAAATCAGCTCCATCACAAAACAAAGGAACTCAAAGACCTGGGTAGCCCAGAATCATGTTACAGCCAGGCATTTGAAGCAACACCATGCTGGCCCCAGCAGCCACTCTCTCCACACTATGTGTGAAGGTCACTTCACCATGTTGAGATTGGGGCAGTTTTCAATATCACATGATATGTCTGAAGCCACTTAGGGAACAGCAGGAAGCATCACTTTCTACACCTACAGTTTATGAAGACAGTAAGAAGGCTGCCATTGTGTTTCCATCAGAGGTCTGAAGGACCTCACTGATGGGTCACCTCCTGTTCTGCTTGGTGCTGGAGAGCAAAGAAGAGGAGGAAACTTACCAGTGGAACACTTAAATACTTCACTCTACCTCATTTGTGTCTTCCAGTAAGCCTAAAGGTTCTGTATTATCACTATTGCCTGATATAATGCATAACCATATAGTTTAATAAGAGTTGGCTGAGTGTTTACTAAGTGCCAGGTGCTACTCCACGGACCATCACTATCGCTTCATTTGCAGATGAGAAATCTAGGGCTCAGGGTGTTAAATGGTAAAGCCCATGTGCAGTGGAATTCCAGAGCACAGGTCCTTAATCTTGGTTCTGCAGCCTCCTGATGGATAGGTTCACTCTAAAAAGTATGCTTCTCTACAATGAACATTCACTCTTTCACCAGAAACTGAAAAATTGAGTGGTCAAATCAGTTGTTTCCAGTCCAGAGTGTCAGGGCTCTGTGGTCTTCAAAAGACAAGAACAGAGGTCTTTTCACTATTTCAACATCATGAAGAATCTAACAGAAAACCACACATTTCCTCCAGACAGGTTGCACAGAAAAACTAAAATAGCAAGTTTCTTTGCATATGGACTAAATATATCAACTTATTTGGGAAACCCTGGCTATCTTTTTTCCCTTCCCCAATTTTTTTATTGTGGTAAAATACATGTAACATGTAATTCACCATCCTAACCATTTTAAAGCGTGCAATTTAGTGCTACTAAATACATTCATAATGGTGTGCTACCATCACCATTGTCCATCTCCAGAACTCTTTCATCTTGTAAAATTTAAACTCTACACCTATGAAACTACAACCCTCTTTTCCCCGCTTCTTCCAGGCCCCTGGAAATTATCATTCTACTTTTGATTTTCTCCTCTAATCAGAAATTATGTTTGTCTTTTACACAGTTATGATAGAAAAGTAGGAAATGTGTTGATTATCCACTTACTGGCTATATAACCTTATGCAAAAATATTTACTCTCTCTGTGTCTCAATTTCAACAACTATAAAAATGGGAATAGCAATAGTACCTATTATACCTTGTAGGGTTGTTGTAAGGATTTTAAAAGTTAATAAACATAAGGTGGCTGAAAGGTGGCTGGCAAGTGGAAAATAATAAGTGCTTGTTTGCTAACGGTGTTGTTACTTAAGCATAGTTTACCTGGTAGACCACATCTTTCCATACATGGCACTCACAGAGAATAATAAAAGGAGTGTCTGCTGATGCAATTAATTTTCTAGAAATAAATTGAGTAACTTAGAACTAAGGCGAGAAAACAAATAACAGCAGCCAGAGATCAATACCTATCGCTATTATTTCATGGAGGGAAAATCACCAGTCATTTTGCCAAGAAAGTCTGAAATATAAACAGGTTTTCTGAATTCCTCTTGCCTGGCATCCTCTGAACTCTTTATCCCTTCTTAGCCTAACTTTAACCTGCCAGCTTTTCTCTGTGCCCAGGGACGACAGGTTAAGTTTCATTCTGTGTGCCCATACCCGGTAGGCGGTGGCTATCTCCCAGGGCTCTGAGGAGGGTTCCCGGACTGCACGGAGGCTCATGAGGGTGAGTGCCTTGGAGAACTGGCGTGTCTGCTATAGAGCGGTGGGAAATATCACCCAGATACGAAGAAAGTCATAAACTGAGAAAGTTTGGGAACCTCTAAAGCATGGTAGCATATAATTCATGTGTTTTCTTTTTTAAATAAAAAGTTCAAAACCCTGTCACATATTACAAAAGAATACATAACAAGCATCTAAATGTATTTTTAAAGTTCTGAAGTGATACACACTGAACTGAGAAAAGCAGAGGCAGAATAGGAATTTAGGACTGCTGATCAAAGGAAATGATGACTATTTTTTCTGTAATATTGTAATTCAAACATTTACATGTATTTGTGCATTCCATGAATAATTTAAAAATCAATTTTTTAAAAAAAAGAAAGAAAGATAAGTTCTACTCAGAGGATAAAGGCAGATTTCATATCATTTAGATTCAAGAGGAAGAATTTCATTCATAACAGGCAGAGGCCAAATCCAGCTAAGCACCCAGGGCTGACACGGGTCCAACTCAGAAGCCAGCAGGGCTGGATTCAAATCCCTGCTCTGCCACTGACTGGTGGTGTGACCTACAACGAGTTCCTCTGTTTCCTCACTTACTGCATCATTGTGAAGTGTGGAGAGTTAATTCATTGAGAAGCCTTTAGAACAGAGCTGAGAGCATAGCGAGGGCGTGGTAAACACCAGCAGGCCCCATTTCTTCACATTCATTGAGAGAGCCCCCTAAGTTGGTAGACTGGCCCCTCTTGATGAGCCCACCTTCATCATTCTCATCCTTTCTCACTCCCCACCCCACCTTCTTTCTGCTTTACATGAACAGCTAATTCCCCTTCCTTCTTTTATTCCTCATTTTAGAGTAATGAGTTGGACAATGAAGTTAAGTCTGGAAGAAAAATAACCATCATGATGTACTTGGTAATTAGATATAAGGCTTAGAACATTTATTGCACTTCTAGTTTTCTTTCAGTTGCTACTTGGAATAGATGCTATGCTGTTTTCTTACTGGAAACTGATACTCCCTGAGAGGCAGGGAAAAAAAACAGTCTACCTACCAAACCTCTGAATCTGTGCTTGGTTTACCGTGACTGAAACCTTCCTTTCCTCCACTCTCGTTTAAAATAAAAATTCCAACGACTAAGAAAGCTAAGACACAATCATTGATTCCTAATGAGCTCAGGAAGCGAGATCAACTAGAGGATGCAGAGTAGCATGATTTGAAGGTATCAGGGAGGTGTCTGCAAAGATACTGTCAGGTCTGCCCAGGCCCCTCAGATAGCTTTCCCTGAGGTTATGCAATAGTCTGACTCCTCACAGGAAGGCTGCCCTCAGGTTACTGGAAGCCACTGCAGGGTGGAGAACTGAGTCTCCCCACTCACCCCACCCCACAGCAGGGCAGCTCTTTAATAACTGACAGGTGTGGAAGGATGAAGGCCTCTGCTCCGTGGTACTGTGGCCAGGACAACTCAAAGGCAAGGCCTACACTGTCCTAGAGCTCCTTTGTGGGACTGAGCCCACGTCACACTCATATGACTTTGTCTCACAGCCCTACTTGCATCACCTCCTTGTCTTCCTTGCCCCATTCCCAAACTCTCCTACAAGCCTTTTCCTGGGAACATTTCCTAAAAAACCTGGAATTTCTATCTCGGGATCTGTTTTCCTGACAGAATGCAACATGGACCTAAGATAGTCTCCCTAACTCTCCACCAAGACCTGTCCTCCATGATATTTAAAAATCCTTCCCTTGAAGGTTTACTCCTTTTGCTTTAGGTTTGAACCCTGATAACTGCGAGTCCCCTGTGAGAGGCCCCAATTTAGCAGGGTTTTCAGTATTGACAATCTAGTCTGACAATACTTCAGATCATTTCTTAGAACACATTTATTTTGATTGACAGCAGCTTGCAGAAAAAGAGGAGTGGAAGGAAGCTGCACCAAGGAGGTGAAAAGCAAGGAGAGAGATGAGAAAGCCTCCAGGCCATGATTTCCTTACACGTGACCTTGAGGGGCAGGGAGAGCAGGTTCCAGGACCCTAAAATTCCCTCAGCTCTCACATGCCATATTCTGTGAATTTGAAGGACGAGAACATTGCCAACAAATGTTTCTTTTATTTTGTTAGACCCAGCTGTACATAGTCCTAAGAGATCATTTTTCTCTGCCCTTTCATAGAAATAGTGCATTTCTTTTGTACTTTCTAATTTTGGCTTGTCTGACAAAAAAAGAAGGTGGGTATGAAACAGTGATTACATGTGACTAAGTAGATTGATTTTTAATTTGGTAGCTGTGTGCATGTGCACACACACACACACACACACACACACTCCCAAAAGTAAACAAGTAACAGTTATCTTCAATTGTTGGGCTTCTGTTGAAACTGATTTAGCCTATGATTACAGAATAAATTACACACCTCTCTGTTATCTCTCTCAAAACCCTTGGTGTCCTAGACATGAACAATCTGTAGCCCACAGAAATGTATTAAATAACCCAATGGGGCTTCACACAAGAATGAATGTGCCTCCTCCCAAACAAAAGAGTGCTTTCCCCCTCAGGAGTAACCAGATCCAAAATTTGACCAATTCTCACCATAGTCCTGAAAAGA